TCTTCTAGAAAATTTCAAACAACCTTATGATGAGTTTTTTAATTTTAAGATCACTTAAAAAAATATTTTAGAGGGTCCTAAAAAGGGTTTCTTATTTAAACCTTCTTGAAAAATATTTTAGAATTTACAATGGATATAAAGAAAAGTATAAGAGAGACCTAAAATATTCTTATACATATTAAAAGATTAGATATTTATGCAAAAATTCTAAAGACACCATAAATATATAACATTTGGGAATATTACCTGTTATGACTTTGCTACTTTTGTTTTTGGCTACAAAATGATTCATTGAATTGGATCAATCTGACCCATGCAAATCGATAATTACTCCAAAAAGAGACTAAAAGCTCTTATCTCTGTGAACAAATTGTTTTATTATAGTATGACTAAGAAGATACTTCTTTTTGATTTATTTTATTTAATACACTAATTAAACTATTAAGCAATATTGGTAATTTCAGTTTTTTTTTTTTGACCACATGAAAGCGGTTATTCCAGTAAATGATGCACTATAATATAATAATCGAAATGTTCTTTATAAGCTTGGGCTTGGCACACTAAGTTCATTGGGCTATTTTTCTTTTTTCTTAAGGCCGTGGTTGGTTTTGGGCTGGGCTAGGCCATCAAACACTAAATATCAAAATCCTTTAGAATGCTCAACCGCTCATGCAATCAAAATCCTATTGACAAATTAAATTTTGAGTTTACTAGTATTTTGGTTATAATTCGATCTCAAGTGCACATTTAAAATAAATTATATTAAATTAGATATATGACCATTAAACTATGACTCTTGTGTCAATTAAGTCTCTAAATATTTATTTATTTTTTTATCAGTTGAACTCTTCTGTCAGCGTCTGTTAGATTTGCTAACGAAAAGTGGTGCAGTGTGTCACTCAGTGTGATTGAGCTTTAATTCATTTGTATCACGTGAGCAGCACACTTCAACACTTCTGTTAGAAAATTTAATACTTAGCATGTACAGTTATGCCAAGATAACACCAAATAAAAAGACCGTAGTACTTAACCCCCCAAAAAAAAATANATTTAACTTAAATGGTTAAATATTATGTTATTGCAAAAGCACAAGGGTGTGGCAGATCCCCTTGAAGTTATTGCAGGAGAGATATATCATGAATCAATTTCGTTATGTTTTGATGAATTCATTTCATGGTATTTTAGATTAGCACCCTAGTTTTATTGCTTTTGTATATGGATTCCATCTGGTTTTTGCTTTAGTGTGGTTTTTCATGTCCCAGTGTGGGATNAGGAAAAAGAAAAAAGAGATATTTAGTAAGATTCTATGGTAATAAAAAGTTGCCACTGGAGTTATGCTACTAATCCTTGTTTCTGCAAATGAAAAATATGAAAAGCAGCCTCTCTAATTTTACAAGAATTGGAGGATCTTTCGACTCTTTTTGAATGGACAAGATTTATACACATAAATAGATTTAACTGATTCAAAAAAAATTAAATTTCAAAATTTAAAGTCTACTAAATCAATTGGATGGTTAAGATTTGTACTAACCAATTGATTTACAAGAATTGTCTGACCAAAAATAAAATAAAAATTTTACAAGAATTGGAGGATCTTTCGGCTCTCTTTGAATGGTCAAGATTTATACACAAATATCAATTTAGCTTATTCAAATAAAATTTTGAAATTTGAAATTTCAAAATCTACTAACAAATCTTAATAATCCAATTCTTATGAAATGAAATTGGATGGGGGCAAACACCATTGAATTGGAACACTCCAAAAGAGAGAGTTTAACTTCAAACAAAACACCTCTAAACTTTCCCCCATCCTAAACACAAGAGAATGAATAGAACACTCACCATCAAGTTAATGTTAGGCCAATTTAGTTTTCAATTAATTCTATATGTTGGGTTAGTAATCTTTCTTCGACTACTGCTCCATCCTTTTGTAGCTATATCTTGGCCTACAGATGAAATGAAATATTTTGTGCCAATGGTGCTTGTTCAAGCTTTGGCTTTCATTGTTGTTGTGTTGATATTGTTTAGAGGTGGTCACAAGGTTGAAGAACTCATCTCTAAAGCGTGTCTACAATATGGCACCATATCTTTGTTTATTTATGTTTGTAGTCTCGCTTTTGCACACCTGATTGCCAAAGGAAATATATTTGTTATTGTTGCTCTTTCTGCAATGTCTATCATTGTGATATCTGGTTTTAAATTTGCTGCAACTTTCCAAGATTCCGTAGCCATTGCTCGTTGGGTGATGCTTCAATCAATCCTCGCTGAGTTTATTCTCTTCCTCAACGACATGTTTGTGNATGTGTACACAACTTGTAAGTTGAGTGGTGAGTCATTCTAAAATAGAAGGAATAAAAAGGAGGAGAACACTTTTCAAAAAAAAAAAATAAGAAGAATTGGGCGGAGAGAGTAGAAAAAAATACAAAGAGAAAGGAAAGAAAGAGACTTGGGCATGGGAGTGGATCAAGGATTGTGCCAAAAGGAGAAGGGATGGAGAGAAAAAAATACCCAAATGGGAGAGGGAGAAGTAGGTAGATGTTTAGGTTAAGAGATGATATTTATATGAACAATGAATATAATAATAAGAATATTTTGGTATTTTTACAAGTTATGTGACAGACATCCACTTTTGCAATTTGGTCATGAGTTCAAGGAATTTTAGTGCAAAAGTTTAAAGTTAAGTGGGTCATTTGCTTCCATCTTTTAAGTACCAGAGTTATTTTGCAACCCTTGATCCACTAAACCTTATGAAAATAGAGATGAAATTTTACCTCCTTTATCACAAGGACCCACAGAGCTTGGAAAAGTGAGTCGATGAGGGAGAGAAGTTAGATGATGCAGTGAAAATGAACACAGGTATCGGAAAGATATTCCATTTATGATTGTAAAGGGCAAACAAAAACCCCTTTCTGAAGTGGAAATATACTTTGTAAGTTTGTAAGATGTACAATATTATAAAGTCTTCTTCACCAAACTAATGTATGCACTTCATCCTGGCACTAAATGCTACTGCATCTAGCTTTGCTTGATTTCTTTGATTGTGCTGTGATATTTCATTTACTAGGCATGCCATATTCACATAGCTGTTTTTCTTGTCCTTTTTTCGTTCTTCTTTTTCCTAACTGAATATCATGAGATCAAATAATTATGACGCTAACATGCTCCTATCTATATATATGCCGTATGTATATTTGTTATGTTCGGATGTGTCTTCTGACAATTTCACTCTAATTTTGGCTTCCCCATATTTTGTTTTAAAAACATGAAGCTCCTCATTCTTGGTGTCTTTTTTTTTTTTTTTTTTTAATAATTTTGGAAGTATGTCAATGTGAAAATATTTACTATATAATGTCAGAAATTGTTATTGTTCCTGACACAACAGTGCCTGTTTTGCTTATCAATTTGGTGCAGGAGGAGCTGTAAATGCTGTTGATAAATTGGACGCATCAAGCATTTCGGATGAAGTGCTACTCAATCATGGAAGTGGTCAACCGTTGACAACGCTTGCTGGTAGAACCCCAGTTAATAATGGAGAATCTACAGAAAATGCTATGTTGATACCTCAACAGGATGGACTAAAGCTACTGATTCCTTCAGTTGTGGATTCTTCAGTTTGTGAGAAATTGCCGATAGAACAAAAAAACGAGGTGTCTACAGAAAAGAAAAGTGCAGGTAGAAGTCTCACTTTCAATGGTGACAATGATATAGGCATTCCAACTTTCCTTCATAGAGGCTACATGTGCAAACAATTTTGGTCATGGTACTTAAAATTCTTGCTAAATCAACATTTTCGTGAAGATTACNTAAATCAACATTTTCGTGAAGCAGTAGCTTACCTTTAAAGATTCCATTCATGAATAGTGGAGGTGGTGTTTTGGTTATTTGATGATTGTTCTTTGGTGCCATGCTTATGTAACCAAAATTTACTGTTGAAGATGTTACAGTGTTGTTATGAAATATTCAAGGGTCATGCCTGCGATACGATTTCCAGTTGAAGGGTCATGCTTTGCAGACAAGGAGACTATTTTCGCATTGCAAACACCAGTTGCTGTACTTGAAGGATCAGATATGAATGTGAAAGTGAGCATTTCAGCAGATATTCCACTTAAAAATGATAAAAATGTTGGGGTCACACTTCTTACTGAACGTGCAATACAAGGTGAAGATGCAAAATTCAAAAGTACTCATAAAGGTATGCAGGTGATAATATATCGTATTGCTTATGCCTTAAAACCACCTCCATCTGCAGTTCTCTAGTCAATTCAATTGGCTTCCACTATTTTGAGTGTGAAACTCCTGATTTCATGTGCCACCTTTGCAAAGGTTTGCACGTTATACCTTATTGCAATCCAGACTTTCATACATCAGATGTTGTAATTTATTGTGAAGGTGGTTTGATTGAGGCTGTTAAGATTAGGATTGATGTAAACTTCTTGAGTGATTTCCTCTTCAGATATGATCNGCGCAAACTCACATTCTCACCCACACACCATCCAAAAATCATGGCATCCACTGTTGGGAAACTCTTGGTATGTATAAATATCATTGTTGGTTGCCATGAGATGAAAGGGGAAGAGAGAGAGAGCAAGAATAATGCCCCATCCAATAAATAAATATAAACTTATATAGTAAGAGGCTCTATTGAAAACAATTAAGTATATAAACGGTGGAATTTTCAAGGGGGTTGATTTTTATTGTAGAGTCATCTAGTACATTATTTGAGGTGTTTCGAAAATAATAAATAAGTATTATAAACAAAAACAATAATAAGAAGATGGACGTAGCAGCCAAATAGAGATACATATGGGCTGTGTGTGGTTATGTGTACACAACTTGTAAGTTGAGTGGTGAGTCATTCTAAAATAGAAGGAATAAAAAGGAGGAGAACACTTTTCAAAAAAAAAAAATAAGAAGAATTGGGCGGAGAGAGTAGAAAAAAATACAAAGAGAAAGGAAAGAAAGAGACTTGGGCATGGGAGTGGATCAAGGATNAATTGAATCAACAGCTACTCAAAGAGCAGAAAATATTGGCAATTCACCAAAAACAGGGCATACACCACATACTACAACTCAACTTCATGTGGGGAGAGTAAGCTCCACATCTAGAGAAGTTCATGGAGTGGAAATAATTAAAAGCATTGTATACGGGGGATTAATCGAATCGATTACAAGCCTTGGAGTCGTGTTANCAACTCAACTTCATGTGGGGAGAGTAAGCTCCACAGCTAGAGAAGTTCATGGAGTGGAAATAATTAAAAGCATTGTATACGGGGGATTAATCGAATCAATTACAAGCCTTGGAGTCGTGTCATCTGCTGCTGCTGGTGATGCGGCCACATGTAAGTGTGTTGTAGGGTATTTTTTCTTGTTGTAAGTGCTTACTCTAACACTACTTGTCAAAGATTTGTGTGAATAAGTACTACTAATTTTCTTGGCTTTGCGTCATTTGGTAGGTAGTTGTAAATGATTAATGTTGTGCTTTGTATAAAAGGTGACTATCGGCTTCTTTCTATGTTGCTTTATGTAGGCCTCTTTTTCAGCTAAGAAAACAAATCCTAATTTTTACACTTGTTGAATTGAATTAATAATTGGTAAATGTGTGTGAATCACTGAAGCCTCCATGTTAGATTATCTTGCGTGAGTTTCTACAGCAAGGATTTAATTTTGTAACAAGAGGGATGTTATGTTGGCCCTTTGTTTTTAAATTATGGATTTTAACTTAAAACAGAATAATGCTTGCAGGCAAACATTAGCTGACATTTATAATACATGGTATAAATGACAATAATGATGATATATTGCCCAGTGAAAAAGTAATCTTACCCACTTATTTCGGTATGTTTAGTATAACTTTCATCTTGGTCCAAAATCATGTGTTGTTTCCTTGTTCCTGATGAGTATGATGAGAATAAGGAAACTTCTGCCTAACCTCCTCTACTCTAAATGGTATGGTACCTATTTTCTAATGTAGGCGCTTCAGTAAAATCTAAATCACTTCTGGGATTTTTGTATAATTTATTCCTGCATTTTTTGTGTTACAACTTTGTTTAACTTATACTGTTTTATCAACTACCAATTTATTTTGAGTCCCAAAAGTTTGTGCGTATATTGTTCATTGATTATGTTTGTATGGTATTGCAGTGAATATTTTAGCTTTAGGATTAGCAAATCTGATTGGATGACTTTTTGTCATGGGTCACAATGTGAGTAAATTTCTACTTCAACTCCTTTCGGTAATCAGCATATGTTCTATCCCGCAAAACTGGTGCTTGTTGGCAACAAGTATATGACTCCCAAAAATAACCCTATCTGAAAACCTTTCAAACTTTAGAAATATGTGTGTATAAGACTCGTCTTGTTCAGATGATCATGCTTTGTTGGTTGGTACCATTTCATGTGTTGATTAGATGGTGAATCATGTTATTGTGCTTGTAGAACTCACGTAACACAAATTTATTTTGTATCATCAACTTGATGTAATTCAGAACTCTGATGAATAAAAAAAGAATTCATGGCAAAGGAGTCGTCACAACCACTGAAATTTTAAGATTTTTGGCTTAAGCAAATGAGAGGAGGCCACCAACTTGGATGGTTTAGAACTAACAATACACCCTGTTACAACAGGGACATTATTTGGATCCAAGTATCTGGAGAGTGTGTTGGCATGGTCACCTCCAATTGGAATTGTTTCTAGTTTGTTTGTATCATGAACTAGTTAACTAACACACTTATAACCAAGGTGTCATCCTCATCACTCTTGGTTATAGTGCTAAGGGAAAATATAAATAGTCTGTGAAAATGTAATATTTTGAACTCTGTAATTATTTTGTGCTAATACAGTCTTCCGCCCTTCCTTCCTTCCAACAACGCTATATTCCCCTAAAAAAAAGCCACTTGCAGAGTGTCTAAAATGACAGAAAAGCAACTAACTAGCGGTGTTTTCTTTCGTTCTTTCTGGCCTTCTTTTGCTCTTGTTTCTCCTTGAAAGCTACTATTATTGAATAGAGTTGATTTTGAATGTTGTGTCTGTCGGCTAGAATTGTATTCATTGACATACATGAAAAATCAATGCATGAGAACTTTTGAAGGACACTGATATTCAAACTAATCCAACTCAGGACCATAACAGTGATACATATGGGAAGGATGTGGAATATGCATTATAGAACATGTTTCTTTTGCATTTACTCAAAGTTATTTGCATCTTAAACTAACATGTTAGCTTACAGCTTTGGGAACTGAAAAAATATCAATCTGGAGGGGCCTCCAATCAAGAAACAGAGCGAGTTGATTGGTACCAGGAACTACTGGGACGAAGACAAAATTTCTTATTTTATGCAGCTGCTGCCGTGTTATCATTCCTTGTTGTTGGCCTACTGCCTCCAGTCATCTATGGCTTCTCATTTCAGAGGAGTGATGATAGAGATCTCAAGCTCGTGGCAGTAGCAGCGACTTCACTTCTATGCATCATCCTACTTAGCATTGGAAAGGCTTATGTTCAGAGGCCTCCCAAGTCTTATATAACAACAGCAGTATACTATGTTATGATAGAGTTTGGAGTCTCGGCTGTTTCCTTTGCAGTAGGCAACCTAATCATGAAACTCCTGGAGAAGCTTCGTTTATGTCAGTCCAATTCCCTTGTAACCCTGCCACTTCTCAAGACAGAACCAGTGAAACCATTATGGGCATCCTATTAGTGTCACCAGTGTTGAATGCCGATTTTTTGACACACAGTCATTCGAAACAATGCTGCAGAGTGGGTGAGTGATGTTCCCTTATACAGGGCCCAAACATCAATTGCTATTGACGGCTCAGTTAAACTTATGCCTGATGTCTTGTACACTTTTCTTTTTCACCTTGCTTTGGGCTAAAACTACTCTTTTTCACCTAGCTTCGGGCTAAAACTACCATCTAGAGAATATTTCTCAAGGTGAATAATTAGTGAGTATGCGACATTTTTGCACTCAGAGTAAATTGGAACAGTTTTTTATGTTGTATGCTTATACGGAATAAATTGAGTAAGACCAACATCTACAATTTGTCCACTAGGAAGTTATTTTTGCAAGGCCCATGGAGGTAGTCTTTTGCAAAAATAACTTGTAAGTATTATAATAAATAAGTGTTATAAACAAAAAACAATAATAAGAAGATGGAGGTAGCAGCCAAATAGAGATACATATGGGCTATGTGTGATTTTGTGTACACAACCTGTAAGTTGAGTGGTGAGTCATGCTAAAATAGAAGGAATAAAAAGGAGGAGAACACTTTTCAAAAAAAAAAAAATAATAATAATAAGAATTGGGCGGAGAGAGTAGAAAAAAATACAAAGAGAAAGAAAAGAAAGAGACTTGAGCATGGGAGGTGGATCAAGGGTTGTGGCAAAAGGAGAAAGGATGGAGAGAAAAAAATACCCAAATGGGAGAGGGAGAAGTAGGTAGATGTTTAGATTAAGAGATGATATTTATATGAACAATGAATATAATAATAAGAATATTTTGATATTTTTACAAGTTATGCGACATACATCCACTTTTACAATTTGGTCACGAGTTCAAGGAATTTTAGTGCAAGAGTTTAAAGTTAAGCGGGTCATTTACTTCCATCTTTTAAGTACAAAAAGTTATTTTGTAATTAACTCTATAAATTATAATTGTCATTTTGGCACTAAACATAGTTCAATTATAATAATTTTTTACATATTTGTGCAAAAAAATTTATTTTTTATTTAAATTTTTTATTAAATTATGATATTCTTGTTATGATTTTTTAAAAGTAGAGGGATACTTCACTGTAGCCTCCGAGCATAAGGGCTAATTTGTATTTAATCCTTTATTATAAATGGAGAATTATACTCAGACCCCTCAAGTTTATTACTTAATCACTTAAACCCTTAATATTTAAAATATTACATATAAAACTCCTAAAATTTGTATATGCATAACACTTAGACATTTGTAATCAAATATCAAATTATACTCAAACCACCTAAATTTTTTAGGTACATAATATTTAGATCTTTAGAGTTTAAAATATTATATTTAGACAAAAAATACTTAAATTAAAGATAAAATATCAAATATTTTAAGTTTTATAACCAAAATTCATATTTTATTATATCATTTATTGAAATAAAAATCAAAATCTAATTTTTTTCTTATAAAAATCATAATTAGTATATAATTATATTATTTATTGGAATAAAACAAAAAAAATCAAATAAAGGGTCAAACCGTAATGTGTATAATGTTTTCCATCTTTAATTGGAATAATATGGTTGTTTAATAGATTTCGTTAATTCTGTAACTAATAAGTGGTTTAAATATAATATTTTAAATTTGAGGGGTTTAAGTGTTACACATCAATAAAATTAAAGATGTTTAAGTATAATTTATTAACAAATATTCTAACGCATATTGATAGGAGAGTTACGCGCATAAAATTTTAGAAAGGGCCTAAATTATTAAGCGACGAGTTTAATTCTCCCTATTATACATGTTAATTGAAAAAAAAAAATCACAACGCATAGAACGCCTTCAATTTTTTTTGATTTTAAGTTGGGAAAATTCGGTAGCCTCAGTCAAAAACCCAACGGCTTCATTCCCACTAAAATCTCAACCCTCTCTTCCCGCCAATCTCCCAAATTCCCAATCTTACGCTTCTCTCTGTTTCCAAATTCGCATCCCATATATTCCCCAAAATCCCTCCCCAAATCTCCTTAATTTGCTTCCCTCCCCATTCGTCTCTCCCTCCCTCCCATGTTTCCTCCCTCTCTTTGCCGGCGAAAGCCAGCCACTTCACGAAATCCACTACAAACACTGATCGGCGTACGACCCATACACACAGAGTTGCTCACCCACCACCTACAAAATATGCTTTCAACACACACCCCCACACCGAAGTGGGTCTCCATTAGCCATTAGTTTTGGTTTGATGTGAATTCGGTTTGACACAGTGTCTTAGGGTTCAATGAACCACAACTAATATATCGTATCTCACATGTTCCAGAAAAATTTCCCAGAGCTACAAACATCATGGGTTCCAATAATGGGTTTGATAAGATTTTTTTGGATGAATACAGTTCGTGTGTCCTTTGAAGCCTCGGGTGATACTGCTGTAACTGAGGTAATTGGTTTGGACCAACACATTTTTTCCAATTTCATCTATTGGTCTCTATTCAACGCCTTAAATATTTGTTTTTTTTGTGAGTTTCTTTCCTTTTAATGTTTATGGGGTTCATGCTGCTGTTGATTTTTATTCGTTCTTTGTTTTCTTAGTCTGCTAGAACATTTATCTCACTTATATCATTCCAATTCGTATTCTCACTGTGGTTATAATTGCCAGCGGGTATGAGTTTGTTTTTATTGCAAAATATTGATAGATTTCAGTGGGGTGCCCATTCTTAACAACCATTACATGGTATGTATAAAAAATATTTACTTTTTGTTATTGTTTATAGGGTATGGTTAGGTCTGTTTATAGATGTAATTGTGTGAATATTCATTATTTTAGGTAGATTATAATAATGAAACAAAATGATTTATTTTTTATCATGAATTTTATTTTTATTGAAATTTGTTGTCTTGCACTGTAAATTGTGATGATAATTTGAATTTTGTTACTTGATAATTCAAAATCTTAGTTTGAATATTTGATACTTCAAGAATTTGAGCTATTGTTCTCGCTACGCGGTTCGACATGTAAGATTTCTTTTATGAGGGACTCTCAGTGTTGGGCATGTATGCAAAATATTTGTTGTTTTGCTTCAATGAAAATAACTCAAACCTTGAAAAAACTAACAATGAATTGTTGTTTGATTTGTGTGTAAAAATGTTTGATGTTAAAAGAACATTGTGTTGTTCCTTTGGGAGGAATCATTTGTCAGCTTTGTATCATGGTTCAAGGTCGCGATATCTACCCTTGACTTCGAGGCCTCTAAGACAAATCAGTCATGACGTTGCATCGCGGTATCGGCCGATACACTACATAGAAGGTTCAAAATTTTTTTAAAAAATTAGAAAAAATTGTAATAAATGTAAACATTATCATCCATGCATCATATCCTCAAAATGAATTATTTAACACAATAGCCCTCGTAAAAAATAATAATAAGACCGCTACCAGAAAATATTTGTTATCGTCTATGTTCAATGTAAGCATTTAAGACCGTACTAAAATGTATATTAAAAAGAATTATTTAAAAACATATATGTTATTATAATTTTTTTTTTCCATTTAATCATTTAATGTATATCTAACTACAACTTATATGCATTTTCTCCATTATGTACATGTAATTATTAAATATTCTATTACACATAAAAAGGAAAAAACTTAATAAATTAAGTTGTAATTATATTATGTGATGTATAATTAAAATTATATAATTAAAATTTGACCAAAAACCCACAATGGATCTCAGTTTGAATTGGAACAATTGGGAATCAAAAACAAAAAAAACTTGAAATTGACATATTGGTTCAGTCGATTTGATTGGTTAACTGTTTGAGAGAGTGGGACCGAACGAAAAAAAGGGGCAAAACCAAAAGAAAAAGGGGGGGGGGCTTATTTACGTCTACTCACACGATTAACACTCTAAATATCTGACTCAGAGAAAGACTGGGGTCTAGATCTGGAACGATGGTTGTGCATAGGAAGAGATGGAGTGTTGCTACCTACTACTTTTAGGGCTTTGTTCTAGATCTGGAACGCAGCTATTGTTAGTTTTGTTGAGTTTCTGCGACGAGGAAGAAAGATGAAACGGGTTTCTGCTTTTACGATGCTTTTTATGTATGTGTTATTTGCTAGTTCTTCATCTGTTTATGTAAAAAGAAAAAGCAAAAAATGGGGTTTTGATTTAGGGTTCACTCTCTACCTACACAAAGTCACAAAATGGGTGTTTGTAGAATATGGGTCAATTTTCTTTGACATCTCCTTTGCTTTTTTCTTGGTATGTTTTTGCTATTGTTGGGTTCTTTAACTTTTGTGGGACGATTGTGGGTTGAATCGACTCAAATCGGTTTGATTCAGTGATTATTTTCTCTTTCCTATATTTTCCTTACATCGTTTTCTCTCTCATTTTCTTCCTTCTATTCTTTCTCTCTCCTTTCTCTTCTTTCAATTTCTCTATCATCTCTCTCCTATCTCTTAGTTAAATTACTTTCTCTCTCCTCTCTCTTATTTAAATCTCTCTCTCCTCTCTCTTTCATCACATCATTATCTCTCTCCTATCTCTAATTTAAATTTTTCTATTTATCTCATCTCCCTTCTATCTCACACTTTCTCTCTTGTCTCTCTTCCCTTATTCTCTCTTTTATATCCCTTATTTAAATTCTTCTCTATCCTCTCTCTTCCATTCCACTCATTCTCTCTCTTCTCTTTTCCTTTAATTATTTTTTCTCACCACTCTCCTTTCAATTCACCATCATGGAATGGGTTCATCACTAGTGAAGCCAACAAACGTTGCTAACATGCCTTCATTAACATGTGCCGCACAAGATCATCACTAGCATGTGCTCTTCGGATCCATGATGGGTTGTTTCTTCAAGGTATAGAAATTGATGTTTGTCATTGTCTTAGGACAGTGACATTGGGTTTTGTTCAAGTGATATATCTATATTACTATAAAATATCAGCATAACTGAAAACTTTTTTTTTTTTCACTTGAACCCTCCAAAACCATAATTATGCTATTCTTATC